TCAAAACTAAACACCCTGAACTTTTAAAGGTACAGTAGGTGGCACTATTGTGCTGCCTGTAGATGTTATGAAAGAAGTTCATTCTGTCAACAGTGGTTATTAMAAATAAATCCTTAAGAAGAGGAATTACCATAAATCTGAATGTGTTATGGATTTTAAAAAGTGAACTCCCGTCTTTATGTAGGACAGAAGGAAAAGCTGACCCTTCATGATTTCACTATGTGTGTAAAGGCTCAGCTRGTTCTGGGGTCTTTCTGTCCTGCTCCAAAGTCAGGAGGACACCAGACATTCAAAGAAAGACTACAACAGGAGAAGACATTTGTTGGAGCAGATAAGAAGCTTTTTCTCCTGCTTGAAAAAAAAAAACTTAGCCACGCATGTTCAAGAACCAGACAAGCTTTCTTGCTTCTTTTTAAGTGGTCTGAATTCGTAGTTTTACAACTTTTTTGAAACTCTGTCAGACATTTTTCATAATTTTTTCTGTTTTTATTCATTTTCATTTCAGTTTGACCAAATAAGCCTGTKGTGACAGTTGAGCGGATAAAAGGACAAAATGTCAGATAAATAAAAAACAAAATAAAACCCATTAAAAACCAAAAACAGAACTTAAAAGATGCATCTTTTTTCAGTTGATCATCATGTTTTTTTTATTAATAATTTTTGGAGCTAAAATGCTGTTTAAAAATTATTGGACTGTAATATTAGTAATAAACCTTATTTCAACAAAAATATTGAAACAAATTATGCCTTTGTGGAAGGCTGAAGGTGACAACATCTCTGAAGACCTTATTAAAAATAAAGAAAAAATATATTTGACAAACATCTAAAATGTTACATCTGATTCTGTGGCAACAAAATCTAAAGAAATGAGAGATTTTGTCTGCACAGCTTTAACTCTTCATGAATAAAATGTGGTGCAAGCTGATAGTGAAGGTGTGAAGAGCTGTTACTTCTTCAAATTCATAACTTCCCAACAAAGCAACTCAAACTTTTTCTCTTGTCCATTTCTTTATTTGTAGCAGTCGTGTTTTTTTTATTCTGTTGAAAAGAAATGGTCAAACATCTATTTCAAAAGTGTTTCTCAAAAAAAAAAAACTACAATCAAAGTGTCATCTCTTTAAAAAAGTTTGCTGATTTGCTGATTTCCTTTTTTRAACTAACATGTCAGAAAGTTAATTCTGATCTAGATGTTTCACCTGCCAAGTTTCAAAGCTAAATGTGTGTAAATATGACTCATAATTAGTGCATAAATGACGTAAAAATGCAGTGACTCTTTCCTCCGGTCTGTTGCATTCCTCTAAAATTCCTTTTTGCTGCATGTCTCGTTTTGGGAGACATTAAACAGTTTGTAGAGGCAAACAGAAGAGGAGCTGGTAATGAATGGTTGCGCGTTAGTTGGTTAACTAACTTACCTCTGAATAATGTGTTTCTTACGGGGCCACTCGGGCCACGGTTGATGGATGGCCTTACAGAAGCCGGGTCAATTAGCCAGGCTGGATTTGCCTTCATGTGGGCTGCAGACAGAACTGGGAGAGCTCCAACCTTTGTCACATGGCCTGGCTGTAATTAATCACCAGCGAGAGGCCTTCTCACCTCACGCAGACGTGCACACAAACAGCCAATACTCACGTTTGGACCAAATTACATCTCCACTCCTCTAATCTGGCTAATTGTCAATATTGTACTCCTTAGAGGAGGAGAACGAAGCTGATATAAAAGGCTTCCCTGCAAACGAACAGATCTATCCTTCTGTGGCCTACTTCAGTCATACTGTGGCTCATTTAACAAACTCATGTTTACTCATCCTTTAACAAGGGTGAAATAAAACAGAAGGGGAGAGGGAAAGTGAAAATGTGAAAAAAAAAACAGCAGAAATTGCTCTTTGTGTGAATTTAAACTTTATGCAGCAGTTGATYGATGAGTCTTTAGCAATAAGCAATG